AAGGCACATTAGTGCTCCCCTATTCCCTTAGAATCCTCCCCTATTTCCCTAGACCTAATCTAGCTCCCCTATTTTTAGAAATCTTCTAAATCTAATCTAACTAACTCTAGATCTAAAAAGTTAGAATATTCCTTAGATCCTAAATCCTCTAGTTCTAGATCTAACTTAGTACTAGACTCTAAATTATCTAGTTCTAAATCTAACTTAGTTCTAGATTCTGGATTAGATAGAGGATTCTTAGAATCTAAGTGTTAGTCTCCCCTAGTTCTAGAATCCTTAAGCTAGAGTTCTATTATAATATCCTAAATTCTCTTAAAAAGATCTTTTCTTAACTAATCTAATATATCCTTAGACTATATCTAATCTTCCTCTAAACTTGCTCTTTCTAGATTTAGCTTAGAAGTAGCTTTAGAAGGTAGGATTAGAGGTAGTTTAGGTAACCTTAACTTAAGGGTGGATTTTAACTTAGGACTAGATTTTAACTTAAGGGTGGATTTTATCGTAGTTTTAGGAATAGACTTTAGAGTAGAATTTTCTAGCTTAGAGGTAGCTTACTAAGAGGTAAAAGCTAATCTAAATTCTATTCTAAAGACGTATAGCTCCTAAGGATTAAGTAGTAGTATTTTATGTTAGTGTCTTATTAAAGTATAGAGGTGTCCTTTAACCTAAAGTAAAAATTCTATATAAGTAGTACTAAGCTTATTAAATTGTCTATAGGGTTCTAGAAGAAATTTTTAGAGGTCTTTCTATTACTCTTTTTCTCTTTACTATAGGAGAGAGTTCCTCTTCCTATCTTAGAAGATAGGGTAGAAAGACTAGGACTAATTACTAGATTTATAGCTAGACAAGGTATACTAAACTTAATATCTAATCTAATATAGAGAGGTTAAGTACCTTAGATTTACATTCTCTTCCTAAACTATTAGGGGTATTATTTAGAGGCTGAACTTAGAGGTATCTTAGTTATATAGGGTTCCTCTTCCCCTCCCTTCTCTTCTAAATAAATTTAAGAAGTAGATTCCTTTACTAGAATGCAAAACTTCTCTTTAGATTTATTTTAGAGGTAAAAGTAGGCGCAAAACCCGGGCTTATAACCTGTTAAAAAGTGAAATCTAGGAACGAAGAGAGAGAGAAGCATCTAGGACAGTCGGGGTAAGCGAGTGTAATTTAGAGAAGGAAGAGCCTTCTTAAAAGACTAAATACAAGTAGTTTCTTAGCAAAGGCACAGTTATTCCCCAGCCTGTTAAATTCTAACAACCTTTACTTTTAGCTCCTTCTTTAGCTTCTTAAGGACTATAAGTACTTTCGTAATCTTTACGTTAATACTAGCCTCGTATAATGCATCTACTTTAGGTTTAGCCTTTAAACGTCGCTTAAAGATAAGGAATACCTTATATTACTTCTAAGCGAGGTTACCCTTTATATTAATCTTATTTAGAAAGATACGGCTTAGCTTCCTATCCTTAAACTCGTCTAATAGAGGCTAGATAGGGCTATTACGGTTATTATACGACTAGGTTAGGTATATTCGCGTATTATCCTTATACTTAATCTCCTTCGTAATTAGTAAATCGGAGCCGAAGTATTTAATTACGGCTATTATATCTACGATAGTATAGTCTCTAATAGTAATACTTACGGGAGTCCCTAGTATATTATTAGCGATTATACGGAGTAAGAATAGGTATATAACGCCCTATATACTATTAAGAGCGTTATTCTTATTTACCTTTCTTCGAGCGTTACTACTTTAGTATCTTATTTAGGTCGTCTATCGTAATATAGTATCTCGCAATAACAATAGTAACTATAAACTTAATTAGTACGGTTACTATCGTTAATATAGCTATAAGGACCTTATCCTTAGACCTCTTACTTAATAGTATATTACTAGCGTAGTACTCGTGCTTTAGTAGATTCTTTACCTCTTCCTCTTCGATCTTCGCTTAATATATCTTCGTAGCCTTTATACCGGTTAGGTATACGGTCTATAGGAGGTCGCCGTAGTTATACCCTCTAAGAACTTTATCGTCTAATATCTTAGTATCGTTATTAGAGAGTTTAATAATAATCGACTTTATTAGGTCGTAGGGTGTTTAGGGTATAGCGGTAGCCCGTATAGTAGGTCTTAAGGAGGATTCCGGTAGTATAGAGTTATAGTCGTTATAGAATAGGCACTTCTTATTATTAGGTATATATTTAACGTAATTAAACTACGGCCGAGCTAGGCATATCCGCTTCTATA